ACACACACACACACACAAATATGGGCGGTTCAAAGACTCCTAAAATGCTCTGGTTGTAGGGACAAAAGTGCTTGAATACCCAGATACCAAAAGTCAGAAACTACAGTTAAGGAATATAGTCACTGACATTCACTGAGGGATGTTTTAGGCACCAACCAACTGGCATGCTCTCAGATTCTAGTGAAAATTGTTTTCTTAAAGGCAAAGCACACTGGGAAGCTCAACCAAATCAAAACACTGACAGTGATAATCAGTATGTTTTATTCTACAACTGTGTAAGTAGAGTTTTCAAGATCTAGATCTAGAATCTTGTTCTAAGATCTGTTCGGGATCCCCACAGAGGGTTACAAGATGAATTTGAGGGGTCAGGGGAGGGAAAGGAAAGCAATAAAATCATATTTCTGCTACACAAAGATATGCTTATTTACTATACGTATTTACTATTGTCTAGTTTTTTATTTCGTTTTTTATTGATGACGAGTGGTCGCAACTATAAACAGTTTTGTTTTAGGTGATCACAAGCTAAAAAGGTCTAGAAACACAGATAAAGTCATTCAGCATCAGAATGCTACAATAGAGAAGTTGGGTTCAGGTTTTGTTTACAGTATAAACTAAAGAAAAGGCTGCCTGTGTCCCTCTCACTTCTCTTGGTTCCCTTTCTCCTCCACATTACACTACTTATAATCTGGCTCGTTGGGTCCTTTTAAAGTTCAAAGCTGCTCTGTACTGGAGGCTGCATGTGAGATGTGTTTAGGTCATGTTACAACAAATACACATGTACTCACTGAGCATCCCGGGGGGAGGGCAGGAGTTTGGGCTGTTTGTCGGCGCTGAATAGCAGAGCTCGGAGCTCTCATGTGCCACTTCAGAAACGACAGCAGGCCACCGCCCTGTTAGCTCGGAGCCTGGCAGAGCCACAGCCAAACAGCTGGAGCTGATGTGTAAACAGTAGGCTGCGGGTGTGTGGTGAGTGAGTGTGTGTGTGACACATGACAATGATTGAAGTTCATCTCTGTACGACACATTTCACTGCTTTGAACCAGAGACTGTTTTTAATAGGGGTTATTTCATTATTATTAATTATTATTTAGTAAAAATAGAGATTCTCTCTAGGAAGTTGAATTTTAAACAATCCAAGGATATTTGATTTGCTAGAAGGCTAAAAAACAACAACAAATATTTACATTTAAGAAGCTGCCACCAGGTCATTTAGCTTAAAATGAATAATCAGTTATTAAAATAGATGCTGATTAATTGTTGGTCAACTAATCATTTTATCAGCTTATCTGTTTTATCAGCTCTAGTTTTTAGTCTACTAAATGATAGGTCAAGCTTTTCAAATGTGAGGATTTGGTGTTTTATAATAATGGAAATCAGGTTTTTGACTGTTGGTTGGTATCACTTGGGCCTCTGGGAACTTGTCAAGGTGTGTTTTTTTTATTATTTTATCTCAGGTACTTACTAGAAGCTAATCACAATCTCATTTTACGGCTTGTGCACAGTCTCATAGGGGCCTTATCATCCAGCTCACCTCATTGCATCAGTTGATATTCGGTAGCTTAAATTAGATCTGTCTGGTGTGAGGAGGTCAGCAGGTAGTGACTCAGAGGCTTTCAGCTTTCCTCTTTTAATAACAGGAAGGATATCTCGTGGCGGAGGCGTGAGCTTATCCGGCTTCATCTGTAAGCCTGCCACATCTGTGCACCTGTGTCTGTTATCTGTCTCTCTCTGTGTGTGTGTGTTTGGAAGATAAAAAGCTGAGTCATGATGTGGCAGCAGGTGGCTTTCACTGTGCATCCTCATATTTTTTCCTTGAGTCCCTCCCTCAAAGCGCCCACCGCCCCCACCCAGTTTCTTCGTGAGTGTCGTCATAGCAACGGTCCCCAGTGCTCCATCCCTCGCTCCACCGTTGTCCCGGTGGCATTAACTGTTTTCAGCTGCCTAGTCTGGCGTGAAGTGTATTAAGTGGAGTCATCTAGGCCTAACCCCCGTGGTAGATTAGTTTGACTTTAGACACGCTAGGAGACTTTGCCCTCCCCCGACTGCTAACTGACTGGGTTTGTTTAGTTTGAGGTGTATTTTTCTTTTCTTCTCCACATCTGTTTTCTGCCTCTCGTTTGTCTCCCTCCTTACAATCATTGTTAAAACAAGGATCTGTTATTCCTTTATACCTGGTGCCTGTTGTTGCGTAAGCGAACAAGCTAAATTGAAAAGCAAATACAGATTAACGTGGAGAAAGCTAATGGGAGTGCAGATTTGAAGATCATAGCCATCAAAATGTTGGATGAAAACATTTTTAACCCACTCACTTACCTCCTTTAACTCCACATTTGCATCGTCTCTCTGTTCCTTTCCTTCATTTATTGTTAAATTAATTGTTTAGTTTGTAAAATATTGAAAAATGCCAAAGTAACATTCTTTTTCTGCTTGTTTTGTTCAACCAACAGCCCAAAGATATTTAATTTTTGATGACATAAAACAGAGAAGAGCCGCTATTCCTCACACTGGACAAGCCGGAACCAGAGACTGGTTTTAGCTTAAAATAATTAACTAATAATTCAGTAATTAAAATTGTTGTTGAATAACTGTTGAGCTACTGATCGATTAAGAGACTAATCATTTAAGCAGCAGTCAGAAGTTCTAGTTGATCCAAAGCAAGGAGAAAAAGATTCCTGTTTCTCTTATAACTTCTCATCTTTAATGATCTCCAATTGGTTTGCACATATTCATTCTTAGTGAACAATATGAGACAAACAAATAGCGACAAAGTGCCCATTCAGTGGTGAGCAGCACTTTCCACAGTCAACTGAGCTTGACCAACAGGAAAAAGGGTATCTTTGTTCACTGAAAGACCGCCATACATTATTAATACCCAGTGATTGATTTTTGACTTTTAACAATCAGAGAGTGAAAGACCTTAGTTTGATTCATTCTACCTGTCAAAGCTGACCTGTGTGTGTGTGTATGTTGTATGTTGTGTGTTTTCCAGCCCACGTAGAGAACGAGGAACAGTACACTCAGGCTCTGGAGAAGTTTGGAGAAAACTGCGTGTACAGAGATGATCCAGATCTGGGTTCAGCTTTCCTCAAGTTCTCCGTCTTCACCAAGGAGCTCACTGCGCTCTTCAAAAACCTGGTGAGTTTTAGTGTGTGTGTGTGTGTGTGTGTGTGTGTAAATGTGTATATTATTGGGTCGGAGGAGTGGATGGAGTAAAATCCTCTGGGACAGAGAAAGATTTCCATCCTGTCCCTAATTGTCTCTATCCCCTTGAGTCTCTGTGTGTGTTCTCTAACACACACGTCAAGCACACAGTGAGTCCAGCTGGAACTTAAAGCCCCTCAGGAGGTTGCTCTAGTTTTCCATTGAGATGGCCAAAGAGCCACTGCAACACCAAATATCAGCTGGATCTAATTCAACCTCATCCCGCCAGGGTTTGTATTAAAGCCAAAGCTTTATTAGAAAAATTTGACACCATCATGTGAGGTCTGTCGCTGCCCCTGGACACTGTATCGACCCACACTGAGACCAGTAGCTTGAGATTTTGTATTAGTGTTATCTCAACACCTTTATATTAAAGAAATATGAGCTGCCGCCTGACCTGGATGTGAAGATGTAATCTCTCAAAGCTTTAGAAAGCTCTCGCTTCCTAGATTACATATGCAGCATTAGACACAGAGGCTGGCTTTAACTGCAACAGCAAACAGGGGAGTTACTTGCCTTGTAATGGATCTTTCTTTATATTTTTGTCTTTTAATGATGTGAAAATTAGATTTTCTTAGTGATTAAGATTTTTCACCCACATTTAAAGAAAACTGCCTGTATTTTTAACCTGAGTGCTTTTCCTGTTGGACACACTACACACACCCAAACACACACCCAAACAGCAACACAGGGCTCTAACAGGATTACATCTCAGTGGTGTCGGACACTCCTAACTTTCACTCTCCTGCAGGTTAAATCCTCTGACGTAACCTTTCAACTCTGATCTGTCTCACTCTCCTCACCCTCCTCCAGTTCCAAAACATGAACAACATCATCACCTTTCCTCTGGACAGCCTGCTGAAAGGAGACCTGAAGGGAGTCAAAGGGGTAAGGCAACAAAACAGCATGGTCTTGTGTAACTCATAACTCATAAACGTCATACAAGTTGCTGAATCATCAGTGACCACAAAGTAATACAAGTTTTATGAGAGGGTGTAGCGTATGTTAATTTAACTGACGCAAGCGCTGTGTCATTAGTAGATTATTTGTTCCAGTTCTAATATTTCAGCCCTTTTCCCAACATGTAGATCCTCTTACCTTGTGAGGGAACTGTTATTAACACAAAACAAATCCTGTTGATTGACACTAAAGGTTGTTTTTCCTGGTAGCAATTATTCCCACACTAAATACAAAATTAAATGGAGATATCAATCAAAACATGCTTGTATAGGCTGTGGCTTTATCTTCAATGAACTCATGAAACTCATTCAGTAGCTGTGCATAGAGGCCATGCTGCTGGTTCAAAGTGATTTGAAGCCACCTTGACAATCATTGCCATCCTTGAAGTCCCGCTGTCTCGATAATAAGGTTGATAACAAGCTGCTTTGATCTGCCTCGGACCACTTTCCGCTGTTTTCCATAAAAAGTTGAGTTGAGTAGGGACTAGATGGATAGTTGATGAAGTAGCAACACCTGACTACCGCAGTATTCATTTATGAAACTACAAGATAAAAATCACAAACTTCACCCATCACCAAATGAAGCGTAAGCCTGATGTTTGCAATTTCTCAAAATGATGAAAGTTGTGCAAAAATGCCAGAATGAAGTTTATCATCTCTCCATAAAATGTTTTTTAAGCTGTAGCATGTAGTGGGAAATCAGTCAACATAACGTATACTCAACAGAACCTGTGTAAAAATGTTCGTATGGAGCCTGATATAATCAGCAAACATGGTGAACAATTTACAATTTACACATGGATGATTTTGAGTTAATGATCCAATCAATGAGTTTGTAAGCTGTCTAGCAGTAATTAAGTAAACCAGCAGCGAAGAACACAGATGAAGGGTATAAAATGAAATTACAAGAACAACAACAACAACAGGCCAATTACTCAATACATGTTGCATTTCTTTGAGTTATACACAAATATTAATTATCTTAGAAAGACTATTAACTATTGTTAGAAGTTTTAGGTGCTAGTTGTGATACAATATATGTTACGGAGTTCTCAAACTGTTGTCGAAACACAAGCAGCTGTACAAGAACTTTACCTGAAAAATGGCCAGAAATATGCAATTCTTTAAATATTTTGGGGCTATTTTATTCCTTTTATTAGAGAGCAGACACTAGGGAGATCACATGAGACAAGGATAGAAAAAGATGAGGAATGACATGTGACTTGCCTTGAATCAAACCATGACTTTGCACTTTCATGGTTGCCTTAAACCCGCACATCAACAAGGTGCCCTTAAAAAATTGAATACATTACATTTACACCAGTGAACTAAAATCAGGAAGGTAAACATAATGACACATTCTGACGGAGACATTTAATGACTTGGTGCCTATAGACGCCATTCGGTTTGTACCAAAAATAGTATTTGCTACAGCATCGCCTACCACGTCTTTATAGTCAGCCATCAGTCATGTGTGTCCACCAACTGGACTGAACCCAGACAGACACTCGTTAACAGGCTATGCAGCTCCGTAATGTGATCAGCCCTCGTTACTGTCCACGGCGGTCTGTGACCTTTCACTCTCCAGGCACATGATTGGCTACGGTTTCCTACCGAGGTATGATGCGATTAAGCCAGCTCGGTAATGAGGCCGGTTGCTATAGAAATGCGGTTGTCCCCGTGAACCTCGGCCACTTGGCTCCGTCTCGACCTCTGAACCATTTGTCCTTTCTCCTCTCTTCCTCTTTTGTGCGTCTCTTAAGTGCAATGTTTTCTTTTCGGTCTCTGTTTGCTTTTCTCTCTTTCACGATATCCTTCCTTTGTCTTCTTGCCTCTCTCTTAACTCCACTGCTATCTCTCCCCCGCTTTCTTTCCCTCCCTGTCTCCTTCAGTCTGTCCCTCATCGCCCACCCCCTCACTCTCCAGTCTGGCAGCCAGTCACATCTGTAATGCTTACCCACTTATTGCTCATTAGCCCTCGGATGATTCTCATTACCCCAATGACATGGGGCTAATGAGCTGCTGGTTTTTTTATACCTCAGGACACACACACACACACATTTACACACACTCGCATAAATGTCACCACTGTTGTAATGTCAATAAACGTCAGCCTTCAGTGTCAGGACAAGAAAAGTGAGGAAGAAAGTAGAGAGAGAGTCACCCCCCCCTCCCCCAACCTGTTTCTTTTACCTCCACAGCCCAAGGCCTTTACCTCGTCCCTCCCTTCCCCTTCATCATCTTCCTCATCCTCTGTCATTATTCCTGCTTTTTCACTCCTGTGCTGTCCCAGGGGAAAGTACCTGTTAGGAAAGAAGGAAGCAGGAAGAAGTCCAGACCTGCATGATGGGGCTGTTTAGACTGCAGGAACAGGGAAGCAGAGGAAGATGATTTGAGTAATGGGTTGATATAAAGGTCATAAAAGAGTAACAGAGATGTGTTTAAAAGATCAGATAAGTTTATATATTAGTCTTAGTAGTGATGACAAATGTGTTTCATAAACCACACACTAAGACAAGAATTACAAAGATTTGTGAGTAATTTATGGTGTTTTCCAATCCACAAACAAATAAATTCAACTTGAATAAATGTTAGCATTCAAGGTCATTAATCTGATAATATTCAAATTTAAAAAGCAAAGTTTCCTGTGCATATAATGTATGTTTTTAAACGCAACATGCATTTGTGGATCAGAGGCTGTGAACCTGTGCACACGCGTTTAAGCAAATTGTGAATAAATGCAAAATTAAGACAAATTTTTCTCCGTGGAAGGTTGCAGCAAGGACACTGAGCATACAGAGGGCAGGTAACAGCGAGGAAAACATTCACATTGAATGAAGATGCAAAATCTAATTCCTAATTTTGTTTTAATGCATATAAAGTGCAATCTGGTATCTTAAAATGCTCCACAATTACTGCACCTGCGTGGCAGCTATAATAGTCACTAGTCCTTTTCATTTGATTTAACTCAGGACTTAATGGCTTTCTGGTAGCCGTTGTTCCCCCAGAGCTTGTTTAATATTCTGCCGGTGCCGTCTTTGGCAATGAGTGCAATGAACTAACCCTGAGGGAGGCAGCCGCTAATGGCTCTGTGATTAGAGGGTTACCACCTAGCAACCTGTCACCGCTGTTACTCTGGTAAAAACCCACCATTTTCCACCTCATCTACCTCCATGGCCATCTCACCAGAGGGCATTTCATGCGTTAAAAAAAATAAAAAGAAAGTGACCTTGTCATTTTTAGGCTGCCATCACTTCTTCATTTTTAATCAGTACTTTCTGTAGCGATGATGGACTATAAGGCACAGGAAAGCAGGTAAAGTGTTTGGGAAATGACTGTAAAAAGCATTTGTTTTCAAACAGAAGTTTTTACACAGGATTCAGCTTCATCAGTGCTATCAAAAAAGGCTACGGCAGGGTCCCTGAAAGACTCAGTAGTGTTATTATTGAAGATAAACTCTCTCTCTCACACACACACACACTCACACACACACTCTCCAGTCTGTGGAAAATGGAAAGTGCTGAGTCCACAAGACCGTTCTGCTAACAGCAGACTTTCAGAGTGGACGCCGGCATGATGTCATGCCTGCAGCCGACCCTCTCATCCTTTGCTTATTGACCGGTCTGTGTTCGTGCTGTGTTGTGTAAGGAAGGACGTGCGGAGGAGCGAGAGCAGTCTGTGGGTCTAATTTCTTTCCGAGTGAGCAGTGACTCAAGTCCAGCTGCACCTTGTCTCATTGTGGTTCAGTTAGCCGTGAACAACCTGGAAAACCCACCCACTCATGCTCGCTTTTTGAGATTTTAGATAAGAGCAGATTATCAATCGAGGTTTTTTTCCTCAATTGTTGCATAGACGTACTCTAAAAAACACGTTGCCTGCTGATATTTTAGTTGAAGTAAAATACATTAGTGCGCTCAGCCCTACAGGCGTATAGGAGCGAACTATGGGTGGCCCACAAAAGCCCTTTCTAGAGTTGGTTTTGTCCGTTTCTTGCTACAGTAACACGGCCAGTTTCAACATGGTGGCCTCCGTGCAAAAGGATCTGCTCTTTCTGTAGATAATTATCCATCTGTAAAAAACAATACAACATTCTTATTTCGTGTTATACACTAATGAAACATACCTAAAATATCTATATTTAAGTTTGTCCAACAGATCTTACTTTTGTTAGCACACTGGTTATTTCACAATGAAAGATGTTGGTTTTATATGTCCAGGTTGTCTTTGTTGGAGTTTTCTGCCTCCACTCCTAATGGGACCGAGGGAATGGAATTTTATTTCTGGCTAGTTGGTGTGCATGGAAATGGGAATTTGTAACGGTTACATGAGTTTGCAGAAGCACTGTAGTGTCTGCGTTGCTAACTACTTTCCTAACGAGAAATACAGTAATAGCCAGGAAATGTTTAGTCAACTTCAGTTGTTTAGGTTGATTGATTAAGAGTAATTAATTTGAATTTTTTTTTATTAAATCATTTTTCCAAACATTAATAGCAAAAACAATCTTTTAGTTCAGGTTTGCTTGATTTGTGTTTTCTGTGATAGTAAATTTTAACTGAAAAAGCTCATAATGAATTTGTAAAAGTGTTGGTAAATTGTAATTTTTTTATATTCTCTGATATTTTTTTATTTTAAACGATTGGGATTGAGTGATTGATGATATTAATTTATGGTGCTCCTAGCAGGTCGATTGATTGATTGATTGATAGATTAAAAATAATTAATGGTTGCAGTCCTAGATCAGGCTACACAATATCTTCCTGATAATGGCCCCAGGTGACAAATGTGAGCACCAAAAAACATTAAATTTTTTTTGTGTTGAAGGCAGAGACATCAGAAAACTATAAAACCAAAACTAGACCAGAAACCAACAGAGTTAGTGGAATTGTTTTGTTTTATTTTTTGTAATTTGGGTGAACAGAGGGTTCTGAGTGTTCACATCCGAAGGTACACCAGTACTACAGACCCAAACTAAACGCCTTCGTTGCTGCCGACCAGGTTGTACATTCATTACTGAGGTGGGAAAAGGTGTGAGGAATGTGTGACAGGAAGTGCTATTCCTGGACATGTGTGGTAGTAGGTAGTAAGAGGCGATAAGTTTGCAAATGGAGGCCCCTGCCAAGGGCATGACATTCCTCTTCCGTCCTTTGGATTCAGGGAATCAGGCTAGGAGCTTGCTGCTCTCTCAGGGAGTGTTTGTCCCATGCCTTGGCCTATTCTCTGCCATTCCCTGCCCAGCCATGCCTGTATCTGGTATTTTTAGCCATTGGTACCATTTTTCTCCTCTCTCTGGGTCTGACATTTCCTTCCGCTCACCCTCTCTGTTCTTTCTGGCTCTCTGTTGACCTGCAGTTCGTTCTTTTAGCGGCTTCCTTTTTTTTGCTTTTTCTTCTTCAGACTCATGCTTTGACTTTGTTCCTCAGCTTCTTTTGTATTTTTATAGTCTTTTATTCTTTCTTTCCTCTGGTGGTTTCCAACCTCAAGCTGGTCGACTGAATGACTGAATGACTGAGTGCTCCTTGGCTTGGCCCAGTGAACCAGACCGTGATCCTGACAAGTTGAGCCTGCCACTCCTCTGCTGTTGAAGTGGAGGTCAACAGCGGGATCGCAGTCCTCTCTGGACCCCTAACAATGCACTCAAGCCATAGTCTGCCCAGGCGAGCAGAAATATGTGTTTTTCAGATTAAGCCAAATATGTGCTGCTTAAGTGTTAAATGTTAGAATGGGGTTTGACTAAAAAGCTTCACTTCAATGCCATGGTTCAGCAGATGCTTACTGTAGTTTTTGATATGCTGGCATGCTGTTAATCAGACTTTCTTGCCATTTTGGCTCTGGTATCAGGGGTGTAAAAAAAATAATGATGCATTTGAGTATTCATTTAAACACGCCTACCGCAAGATAGCAGTTTTATAAATGTAAACTGAGGACTATGATGTTGGATGTTACACGAGCTGTGATAAATACACATGCAGATCCCATTGTTCTGGTTGCATTAAAAAAAAAGTTAACTTATGCATATAGTGGTGTGTTCTTTATATGGTGACAGTTTTCCTAAAATCTGAAATTAAATCCCAATATAACACCTTACAGTATTGCAATATATCACAACATATAAAATCATAACCCCTGTATTGTAATATGCATGGTTTTGCCAGATTCTTGCCAATACACAGCTCTAATATCGGGCAACAATTAATTTTGTTTAATTGTATATTTCAGACACGGCCAATTGCTCCCAGTAATGTCTGCTTTTGTTTGTCCTAATAACTGTTTAATCAGCAGCACGGCGTTAGGGAGGTTTAATCAAGCTATTTTGCTCAAGCAGCTGTTGAAAGCACACCCATGACGATGAGAAATCAGCGTTGCCTGTTGTCGGTGTTAACAGAGGAATCCTGTTACAAATACCAGAAACAATCACACCGCACTCCTGCCTTCCCAAAAACCCTCCACAGTGACTTTTGTCCAGTTCCCTGCTGAGGCAGCTGTGGGCTGCTCTGCATCTGTGAGGATGATGATTCAGCTTACTGATTCACATTGTGATGACACACACACACACACACACACATACAGTAGCTTCGCTCATTAGTGAGAAAGGAAAGTATTTTTTAACATGTGACAGTTAGTTAGCACTGACGATGATGATTGTGACATCTTTGTGATTCTTGGTTGCTGTAAATGGTGTTTAAATTCCTGTATACAGCTGTAGATATTTTTGGTGCCTACAGACTGTATCGTGATACGTATCGGTCGATTCTTTCCAAGGAATAGTTCCACAGTTTGGGAAATTTGCATGTTTGCAAGAGTTAGACGAGGAGATCGATAGCATAAAACTGTAGATGTTCAAAGTAATTTTTTTTTTGAGAACTGCTACAGATTGAAAGTTAATTCTTGACCCCCTGAGAAAACAACCTTTTAATGGCTGTTCTAGAGCTTTTTGTCATGTCAAAAATTGTTGTTGTATAATTTTCTATTAACTGAACACTTCTTTTGTGTTGTTTTTCACAGGATCTGAAAAAGCCTTTTGACAAAGCCTGGAAGGACTATGAGACAAAAGTGTAAGAAACCTAATATGTATACTCAACAGCCTGTAATTTATTTTCCATAACTAGAACCAGACGTTTGATGGTTTGTTAGTTAATTGGTTAAAATTGTTCAACATGCTGGCCCAGTGCCTCAAACCATGTTGATTACACAGTCATCAATAATTTAAATGTATTAGCTCAGCTGTTCAAACTTGTCGTAAATTGCTGATTTAAAGCCAAACATGTCTCAGTTGGTACGTTAATATGAAGTGTGCACTATGTGTCTTGTCTCTGTCACGACTAACCGCTCTCCCCCTCTAACCTCCCCCCTGTGATTATCTGTCAACACATCCTTGATAATGTGAATAACCACCCCTCACTATCATCTACCCACCTACCCACCTATCCACACTGAGACACCATTTCCACTGACGCACCATTGTGATTGTGCATGGAAAAGACCACATGACATTTTATAGCACTTTCATATATTTTACAAGCTGCAAAGGACATTCTTTGCTGAAAGGGTAATACATCTTCTCTCCAAACCGTTTCGATCAGACAGTACGGGCTTTGTACTGACATTGAGAGTTCAACCGGATGCTATGTGACCGCTCCAATTTATTCTTATGATTTGACTCTATTGATGACAAAACCGAGAGCATCAATAGAGTTCAGTTTTCTGCCTGATTGGAATACCACCCAAACACCCCGACATAGCCTGACACTTTTCTTTATCAATGATCCTCTGGTCGCCTCTGATCTCTCTGCTGTCTGCTGTCAATAATAGGCTGTTAAAATATTCACAGACACAGAGAGATACATTGATTTGATTTTAACTCAGCGTTGATTTCTGATTTCTGACTCCTGATTTGTTTTTGCAAGCTCTTTGCATCCGACAGCCGACAGTTTGAATTCTGTTTTTAGCCTCCGGGTTGGGAGTTGATTCACTTTGAATGCTGTTAATTCAGGAAGAGTGTTTAATCTGAAACGTAATTAGTAAAGTCAGACCATTTCTTCCTAAATTTCAATGCAGAATGTGTCTACGAAAAGTTATTATCTCTGTCTTTATTGCCTAATTTGTGAATCACTCCCTGAACTGACAGGACTGAAAGTGAATGGATTCTCAGCCCAATCATCAGTTGAACATCAGTTTGGCTGGCGGCCAAACAGTCTGGCTAACATGTGTCTCTCTATTAGTCGCAGCCCTGATGATGCTGTAATGCTGTCAGGGCTGAAGATTCATGTGCTGACAAAGGCCAGCAGTGTACTCTCGATGCAAGTTCATTTGGCTTGTTCACTCTAGCAAAAATGGCGAATTTATGACCAAAAGCAAAAGCTGTCGCAACGAGTGTTTCTGGTTTTCCGACAATATCTGAGACAGTTACATTGGTAAAAACAAACAGATTTAGTTTTTTTGAGATAGCAGAAAGAGAAATGAAACTGACTTTAATTGTGTCTCCTCCAACACAGCCTTTGTGAACATGCCAAATTTTGTCTCATTTCTAGTATCCTGCCTGCCGAACAATAATTATCAATACAACTGCAGCTAGATGTGGACTAAAGTGTGAAACCCAGTCAGGATGTGCTGTCACCACTTTGCTTAAGAGATATTGTGAAACAGCAGGATTAAGGAGAATTTCCTCTTTTGGTGCCGCATCATGACTCACAATATAAAGGGAGTAAAATGGCAATTGCGAATGAATGTTAAAGGAATTGTTGGACATTTTGGAAGAGTTAGCTTTGCTTAGCTTAGCATAAAGAATGAAATAAGGTGGGAAACAGCTAGCCTGGCTCTGTCTCAGAGTGAACAATATCTGCCTACCAGCATAGCCGAAGCTCACTTATTAACATGCTAATTAATGAAATGTGTAGAAACAGTATATATTTCCCAAAATGTCAAAGTATTCCTTTAAGACTAGTTGATAGTTTTAAGAATGTCTCACCGTCTTTAAAGTTCCTCTTTAAAGTTGAGGAATGGCCTTTTAGTATTTATTTGTTTTGTCATAAACTGCACTGAGCCTAGCTGCAAGGGAGTGAAGTCTGTCTTGATGCACATGAACCGAGCTGAACGAGTTTTAGCGTACACGCCGTCCCTGTGAGGGGGAACAAACTGCTGCATCCTTTTTTGTAGGGAATATGCTGTCAGAAAATAAAAAACAGCATATGGAAAAGAATGCCCTATTGCATGGATTGGTGCCTCCCCTCCTGTGTGTGGTGTGTTTTCCTGATTGCCTGTGCGAGATACTGTATGCAGAGTTTATGGTGTTTGTGATAAATCAGCCCTGAATACTGACTGTCAGGCAACCTGGTGTCTGAAAGGTTTCACCAGAACCAGTGCAAGAATGCATTAACATTTTTAAACCTTAATTTAATTTGCTCATGCCCTCCTACATATATTCCTGACTTTTTAAAACACTAAACCCGTCCTCTCTATAATACTACTTACACATAATCAGACACCTAATGCACAGCAGTTATGTATAAAGAAAGATTCCCCTTGTTGGCATTTGAACTGAACGGTAATATAAGAGACAGTCTAACTCATTCAATGATGTCTGCCAAGTGCAGTGATTCCCACTAGCTGACATCTGCTTTCTAATTTCGTCTGCTTTTGTGTGCCAGTTTCAATTGCCACCATCAGTGAGAAACAACAGCAGCAAGTGTCTGATAAGAAGCTTTATGCTAATAGTGTAAAAGTTGACACCCTCCAAATGCACTAATGAGCCTTAACCCCCGGTGCAATTAGCCAGATGTTTCTCCTCTGAATTTAGTCTGTTTACTTCAGTACATTGTACATCTGGAAATGCAATACTATAACGTAGATAATGAGTGTTTGCTGTGCATCTGAATGGCTTCTTTAGTTCTGCTGTCTGGGAGGATACAACCCCTCCCTGTGAAAGAGGATGCGTTTCAGGACGCCGCTATTAACATCACAACAGCACTTAAAAACACATCACATGCCTTCATTTTAAAGTTTTGAAGAGGTTTTTACCACCTGGCTTAGATTAACCTACACAGACGCACTCCAGTCATCTCTAACCTCACAGTTAAACTAACAATCTCTAACCCATAACCTCATCCAACAATCTTTGTCTGCCAGACAGCAATAGGGCTGATTTCTACACAATACCACACTTTATTGTGAGTTTATGGTGCTGTCATGGATGTTCTGTGTGCTCTTTGACCCCTGTGATGTTACTTCCTGCCAGCACCAAGATAGAGAAGGAGAAGAAGGAGCACGCAAGGCAGCACGGGATGATCAGGACGGAAATCAGTGGGGCAGAAATTGCTGAAGAGATGGAGAAGGAGAGGAGATTCTTCCAGCTGCAGATGTGTGAGGTTAGTCGGACTAATGAGTGAGACCTGACTTATTTAAATATGTTTCCTAAAAAAGCAATTTACAAGGGAAGTTTAATTCTAAAATGAAACATGTTAAAGATAGAAAACAACTGCACACAGGTAGTAGTGGAGTGGAGGCTAGCCTTTTGGAATACACATCTTAGATTATATTATTATGTTTAGTGCAGTCTGTCCCTCTTTGAAGTTTTTTTTTAATAAAACATCACTTGGAAGATAAAGATTTTTACTTTGAAGCGTCTCGATACGAGATGAAAGCGACGTACATGTTTGAGATGGAGCCCGAGTTGCCTGAACTCGGCCTCACCCTGTCTGACTGAATCTGTATTCAATATGTTTACAGTATCTCCTCAAAGTCAATGAGATCAAAATCAAGAAGGGGGTGGACCTGCTGCAGAATCTCATCAAGTACTTCCATGCGCAGTGCAAGTAAGTCTGTTTATGTAATTTAAGTCACTCAAATATAAATGCACCCCTATTTTGTGGAAGTTCTGTAATGCTAATGTGTTAAATTCATGTGTTTCCTGTTCAGTTTCTTTCAGGACGGTCTGAAAGCCGTGGACAACCTGAAACCTTCCATAGAAAAACTGGCAACAGATCTGCACACGGTGAGAAAACCAGCAGTTCTGATATCTTCATCCCTTCGTTTGACTCTTTCATTTCCGTCATAAAATATGCATCCTATATGTTTCTACTCTGTTCTTTTCTCTCTTTCCTATATGACAGATAAAGCAGGTGCAGGATGAAGAGCGGAAACAGCTGACTCAGTTACGAGAAGTCCTCAAGTCAGCGCTACAGGTGGAGCAGAAGGAGGTAAGACACACACACACACACACACAGAGCGCTGAAGGTCTTCTGTACTCAAAGTCAAGGAACATGTCAGTCAAATATTTTATTTGAATCCTTTTAATTCCTCTAATTCTCTATTATATTCGATATAAACAATCCTTAACCACATTAACCACCTTTTTTTTTTAACATAGTTGGTACTAATTTATGCTTGTATCAGCTAATTAACAAGCACATTTCTGATTAAATCTCTTGTGAAAAGGCCCTGGTGTTTTTCCTATGTTTTCATACATGCATTGATATTTTCCATTTTGTCCTCCTCCCGAATGTGTGGACGTGATTTTTAACTGACCCCAGGCCTGTGCTAAGTGAACTATTAAATATGCTCCTGGTCTCACCTGAAGCCTGTTTTCTTCTTTCCTTCGCTGCCTCCGTCTTTTGTGAAACAAGTCTAGGAGAGTAAGTGGGTTTCTTGGAAAAAGAAAGAATTCCTTTTCTGTGGTTGTTTGCATCCTGTTTTCATTGTGGTGTTGCTTCAGTTGTAGTTGCTACATCAGTGTTTTTTTTTTTACTGCAGCACATAATCTGTTTGTGTGGCATTGCTGCATTGTTTCAGTGTTTTGGTTCATTTAAGTTGTTGCTTTTTTATTTTAAATGACTTTTCAATGAGAAAAGCATCCCTGCTCTACCGGGATTGTCATGCTGGCTGTGTGTGTCTGCTGATAACACACCAGTAAAATCATCAAAGTCCCGTCAACGCCTGCCTTCAGAAGTTGTCCTCTCTGCTTCCCGTAGGGTTTCCACAAAGGAAATGACATCACTTGTACAGAAATCTGGCCTTTGTTTGGTCCTTGTTGTTGCATTGCAGTCAAACCTAGATGTCCAAAAGATAAATCAAGTTAAATTGAATCTAGTTCAGGTTATATCTGTTCAAACTCACCCAGGCTGTGATTTGTATTTTGCTTCTTCAGATTTTACCTATTTGATTCTGATTCAGAGGTGTGAAAGCTCCTCTTATTTTCTTGTCCCCATATCCCCATGTGTACAAAATCATTCAGGCTCACAGCAGCAATCTTCTTATTGTTGTCTATACTTGCTTTAAAATTCTCAGAGGAGACCCAGAAGCAGAGCGTAAATCAGAGCCATTTAACGCTTCAGTGACTCCCATTTGACTGCAAAGTGGATTTGCAAATCCAACATGCAGCGCCTGCGTTTTATTGGATTTTTATTTTATTTTTGTGAAGCCTCTGATTTGTTGTTTGTATTTGTGTGTGTGTGTGTGTTTTCCCAGGAATCACAGGTGCGGCAGAGCACCACCTACAGCCTGCACCAGCCACAGGGTAACAAGGAGCACGGCACCGAGCGCAGCGGCTACCTTTACAAGAAAAGTGACGGGTGAGTTTTTAAAATAACTTTAAAAACTCTAAAAAAGATCAGTTGTGATACTGTATGTGGGGAAAAAACATAGTTTACTATACATAATAGTTATAGAAGTTTTTCTTTTGTAATATACATCAAAATAAGATTTTTCATAGTACAAAGCAAAACAAAGATTTGCACCTATTACAACCTACAATTATTTTATTACGGATGAACCTGCTGTTTACTTCTCATTTGATCAATTAATAGTTTAGTCTATGTCTAAATATAACGTGTGTATATAGGCCCGTCACAGTTTACTAAAGCCCAAGGTGACGCCTTTAAATTGTTTGTTTTAACTGTCAGATAACAGATTTTTAGTTTACGATTATATAAAACAGAGAAAAGCAGCAAATTCTCACGTTGGAGAAGCTGAAACCAGAGATATCTGATGTGGATTTGAAAAACATTTAATCATTTATCAAAATTGATCAATCAGTAATGAACTAATTGATGCAGCTCTATAACTAGTGATGCAGCTTTTTTAAGAGATATGAATACACTGCTTAGCCTGTGTTTCATAACTAGCATGTGTTCTGTATTATAACATGTGATCATATTAAATATTTCATTAAATATTTGCCTGCGTGTGTTTGTGTGACGCACTAATCTCGGTCTCCTGTGTGTCACAGGTTGAGGAAAGTGTGGCAGAAGAGAAAGTGCACAGCAAAGAACGGATACCTCACCATCTCACACGGCACAGTAAGACAACAAAAGCTTTTTTTGTGTCCAAACTCAGCCAGACATAAGACAGGGGAGATGCGATTGTCCCGATTATAACAAATTCCCATTTAGATGCACACATATGGGACCAGACACACTGATGATTGATTTCAGTCTCACAGTCATCCCACACATTACAGTGTCAGTGTCCTGGCTGCAGGCCGTCTTCCCGGCCAGTCATTATCCTCACTCATTAACCATGAATATATTAACAGAGAGCAGCAGAGAGCAGAGGCCCAGTTCATAAGTTAACATTCCTCTCACATCGCTGCCTCAGTCTCTTTAAACTTGAACTCCGTTTGTTCCCATATAAAGATTTCGCTCTGGCCCGATCAACTCCTCTCACCAGCGCAGTTCATCTCACACGTAACAGCTTATCAGATGTTTCATTTGGCTCCGGCAGCAGTCTGACACGGTTAAACACAACACTCTGGCTCATTTATGTTGTTGTCATTACCCTCCCTCCCGCTCTCTCTCTGGCAGGCTAACCGGCCGCCTGCTAAACTCAACCTGCTCACCTGCCAGGTGAAACACAATCCTGAAGAGAAGAGAAGCTTTGACCTCATATCCCGTAAGTTCAGACCTCTCTCTCTCTTTGCCTTCCACTGCTTCCCTTCCCTTTTTGTCTGTGCGCCTTGTTCGCCACCCAATCTGTGCATGTTGCACTCAAATGCCTCATTTTAATTAGCTCTATTCATCCAGGAAGCAGCAGGCCAAGATTCATTATGCAGCTGTGTGGATTTCAAATGTTTATGTTATATTTAGCAAGCAGCAGCAGACTAAAGATAAGATGATTTTTCAGTATTTTTTTTACTGTTGAGTCAGAATCACTTTTATTGGCCAGGTGTGAGTGCACATACGAGGAATTTGACGCTGGTTTCATGTTGCTGTCAATGAACATACACAGAAAAAGGCATACATGCAGCTGAAGGTAAACATAAACTGCTATGTACAGATATAATATATTTATATATATGTATATGTAAACAACAGCAACACTTGTAGACAGTAAAATAATGGTGCGGAGGGCAAATGATGCTGGAATAAATATTTTTTATGTAACGGGTTTTTTATATTTTATATCAGTGCCTCCAGGAAGTTGTGATCACCACAAGTCACTACAAATCTGACGAATCGTTAAAGTTTCCTATGCAAACGTTGAGCCATACGTCACCAAACTCACTGTTGACATTAACTGAGAAAAACAATCTGCAAAACAATTAATATGACAATAATTGCTGACATTGTTTATTCTTCCATAAATAGTCAATTTATGTCAAATAAATGACGTTAACAGCACTTTTGAGGCTGTACTCTGCAGGCTTTTCCACATCAGACACTGAACAGTTAATTTGGAATCAATAGCCCATTGCAGATTTCTGTCTTGTGGGGCCAGACTGTGAGAGGGGCATTTTAAGCCTTTTTTATTAACATATTGACAGTAGAGAGATGGCAGAAAACGATTGGGGGAGAAAGAGAGAAGGGGAATGGCACGCAACAAACATTGGGGTTCTCGTTCATTCAAGGTTTTTCCACACAGAGGAGACACTGGCATTGAGCTAAGAGGCTAAGCTTCAGCCACTGGAGACACGACACAGTTTAAGTTGCTTTGGATACAGTGGTGTAAAAATAGTAGTCAGTCTTCCTGGTTACTGGCAAGTGATTCACATCTGAAGACAAGAGAAATAAGAGCTAAGAGTTTTTGTTGTTGTTTTTTGTTCCTCAGTTCACCGTCAGTCTGACCTGTCAGTGGGAGACTTTAATGCCCTCTGTAGGGCAACGCTTTTTACTCTTTTAATCTCCACTTCTCTTTGATTCATGTTCTCCTCTTCCCTCCTCTTCCGTTGTGTCATTCATTTCTTTTTTGTTTCAGACGACAGAACGTATCACTTTCAGGCCGAGGACGACCAGGACTGTCAGATGTAAGTGTCTGTTCCTTCCTTCCCCTGTGTGTGTTCGTGTGTGTGTGTTTGTGTGTGTGTTTGTGTGTGTGTTCGTGTTCAGTCTTGTGCCTAAGTGCATCCTGTTTACCACCTCGGCCACTTTCCACACACGTCCTGCCTCACACCCAGTCAGACGCTTGGCCTTGTCTTTACCTCCCACCTCCTGCCCTTTCACTCCCGTCTTCTCCCCCCCTTTTAACTCCCTCATTTTCTATTCACATAACTTTCTGCTTCGTCTGCTCCCATCCCCGCCACTCAACCTACTTCTCATTTTCATCTGCCTCTCCTCCAGCTGGATCTCGGTGCTACAGAACAGTAAGGAGGAGGCTTTGAATCAGGCCTTTAAAGGGGACCAACATGTCGGCGAGAACAACATCGTGCAGGAGCTGACCAAGGCGATCTTGGGAGAGGTCAAAAGGATGACGGGAAACGACGTGTGCTGCGACTGCGGAGCGCCCAGTGAGTGGCAAAGACCCCTCGCCTCACAAATGATCAAAACAACATTTATGATCTTTAAATGATTTTTGCTGACAAAAAAGGATAACACCACTGGTTTTGTTTGTTTTAAGCTTATTGACTTCAAATCAAACATACTTTACATTATTGCTGACCTTGTATCCAGAGCATACCATTAGTTTTTCCTACCTTCCAGGCAACATTTAGTTATCATTTTATTTTACTGAGGTTTGAAAATCCACTTGGTCAGACACAATACTTGCTTGAGGCAAGTAATCCAATCATGGTAAACTTTGCATTATTGTTTACATTTGATTGTTTTGTTCCAGTTAGGTGATCATTGCATGATAATATCTAAAAGCTAAGCAATAGACTGCTGTGGGTTATATTAACCACCTAAAGAAATGGAAATAACCGAATCCACATTGTGACAGTGCTGACAACCATATTATTATTATTTTTAAATTTGATTGCTTTAACACAGTAACATAGTTAGAATCCAGCTCATACATTTAAAAAGCCAGTTCTCCAAAGTCATTCTTGAAAACACCACAAAACATACTTTTATAGCTATATTCCGACCTTAAGATGCAGTAACTATGATAATACCACTGCCACAATCTGCATGGCTTTAGTTTAGGTACACGCAGGCACAGTTCTTCTTTTGCTTTTCTTCTTTTGTGTTTATTACAAATTAAAATTTCCATTTAAAGTAAAACCTTTAATGTGATTAAGACAGTAATAGATTGATGTCTTCCCACTGTCGTCACATGTAATCTGTTTTGCAGAGTTGTCCGTACTGATGGATTTTTGGCTAGATTCTGTCTTTTTGAGTGAATTAAAAACATGTCGCTTTCACTCAGCAGCTAGAACAAAAGGTGCTTTTCCAAATTTAAAGAAGTGCCGCACGGATTTTACGCAAGATGTCACAGCAGCGCTAACGTCATTCATTATTTAAATCTCTGGACTGGATCAGTCAGGATCTTACAGTGGTTATCCACCATTCAGTGGTTAAAATCCCATTTAATTTATGAGAGAATATCCCAGGAATCTCAGAAATATATTTAATAATATATTTTTGGGAAGCTTTGACTTTTTGCTTCCTGACTTCCTGCCAACAATATGAACGCTGCAGATTTTAAGTATGTTTCAAGACTAAATGAACAGAAATGATTTGCTGCCTGGTAATCAATCTAAAAATGAGTGATTGCAAAGTGTCAACAGTGATGTATGTGAATATTTATGAGCCTGAAGCGTGTAAAACCACCGGTATGGTCTTGGTCTGGTGAGTACTTGGCTCAGAAGATGCTGAAACTCTTGCGGACTGGATCCTCTGCGTTTGTGGAGATATTCTGTCACAACTTTGAAATATTTGTTTTCTCAAATGCATGAAGCCCCCCAATAATATTTCTCAATCCCATGTAATTTCCTCCTGCAGACATGTATATACTCCTAACATACTATACATGGCATACACATGCAGTATATCCACACATATTTACACGGAGTATCTAGGCCAGACTTGGCTACAGTTGAGCTTGGTCACTTTCCTCTGACACTGAGAGATAGTAAAAACACCTTCAGGCAGCTATTACTTTTCCAGAGCTCACAGCTTTCCACAAGGACACATCAAAGTTGGCTCACATGCTGCAGAAATTACTTTGCTTTTGTGGTTTTTGCCCAAAGGAGAGCCATGCCACCAAAATTCATTTCATTACTCTTTTCCCTCGTGTGTAGTTTTACCTCCTCCTCTCTCTGTTCTCTTGACTTTTCCTTCTCTCTTTCTCAGACCCGACGTGGCTGTCCACCAACCTGGGCATCCTAACTTGCATTGAATGTTCGGGGATCCACAGGGAGCTGGGAGTCCACTACTCCAGGATCCAGTCACTCACTCTTGACGTACTCAGCACCTCAGAGCTCTTGGTAAGTCACAGCTTTTGTGGCAGCTTGAATTGTGTTGTATTGTAATGATTTCCCATTAGAAATCTGTTTTTAGGCAGGATAAAACTGGAGGAGAGGACGGGTGGGAGTAGACAGAGCAAAGACGAATGAGTAAATCGAGAGTAACATCCTCCCAGGCCTCCTCTCTCCTCCAGTTTTCCTCTGGAAGTCTCCACACTCAGAATAGCTGAAATTTTTTTTGGCTTTTCTAATCACTGTTTGGTGCTGAGATTTACCGCCTGTGGGATGGTTGGGATTAAATGCTTCCAGTCGTGATTGCTTTCCTCAGCGCCAGTCGTGTTCGCCACAATCAGACAGGCGTTGTGCTGTTTATAAGGCTCCACACACAGTTTAGGATCTGTAATGCATCCATATGGAGGTGTGAGCTCAACTGGCAGACACGATGACTTTTGAATTAATGCATGTGTTGCAGAAAATGGCTTGTATGACCAGTTTCAATATGTGTATGTGTCTATGTCCGTGTGTGTGCTCCACAGCTGGCCAAGAATGTGGGGAATGCAGGCTTTAATGAAATCATGGAGGCTTGTTTAAGTGCTGAAAATGTGGTGAAACCCAACCCATCCAGTGACATGTAAGTCACCCCTCTAACTTCTCTCCTCCTCACTCCATCTGCCCCCCATACGGCTCTCCCTCAACTCTCTCTCTGTTCTCACTTGTATTGCATTACATTCAATCAACAATTAAAGACACCAGCACTGTGACACATTGGCACATTTTAACCAGCGACGTACTGAGGCTTAAAAGGGTTAAAACACAATAATTATATATCAACACATTTTCAAATGTAAGATTTTAGGTATAATATTTTTACACATTTGCAGATTGATCACATTTTATTACTGATATTTTTTGGTAAAGCTGTTTAAAATCTGTTTCAGACAACATGGAGGAACATTTTGCTGTCATCGTTTGCTTTACAGGACAGCTATTTATTTTATTTCTTAAACAAAATGTTCATGTTATAGATATGTTTCTTTTAGTCGAGTAGTAAGACACAGTTGACTAGCTGATGTTGTCACGAAACAACTAATAATGATATTTTTCTCAGAATTTGAAATGTCCTATGTCCTTTAAGTTATGTTTGTGTGGTAAAACCCCATCTAGCTATCAAGTTATCCAAACTGATTAAAGGTAAATGTATAAGACTTGTATATAATACTTTTTATTTCCTTGCAATTTAAACCCAATTATGAAACTCAATCAAGCACTGAAATGGTATCAGTGAATAACAATTAATGAATCATTTAGTGTGTTTATTAGTTCTGATCAGTGGCTTTTGATTGGTGCATTAAGACCAGAAATGACACAGCTGTAACTGAGCGGCTGCCTCTTCTTCATCTCCCACCAGGCAGGCGAGGAAAGACTTCATCACGGCCAAATACACCGAGAAACGTTTCGCCAGGAAGAAGTGTCCCGATTCGACGTCGCGGCTCCATACGTTGTGTGACGCAGTGAAGGCCCGGGATATTTTTTCGCTCATCCAGGTCTACGCAGAGGGAGTCGACCTCATGGAGCCCATACCTCTGGCCAACGGACACGTCAGTACACAACATATTTAACTGAGACTTCCCTTTTCTACCTGGAGTCTGACTTCCTACTCATAATAATCCTTCTTGCTCTTTAAGTTCCTCCGTGGTTCTCCACAAACGCCTCATATTCTCGGTGGTGGGATATGAAAACATTACGGTTCTGTTTTATGTTTTCATTACAGGAACAAGGAGAGACTGCCCTTCATCTCGCAGTCAGACTGGTGGATAGAACGTCTCTTCACATCGTCGACTTCCTCACTCAGAACAGGTAAACAAAGCGCAGGAAACAACAGAGGACCACAATACGTTTGCACTTCACTTCATTTGTACCTACAGAATGCATTAAGCTGGAATGGAAACATTGAACACACCACCATACAAAAGAATGAGCTTGACATAACGTCGGAAGGATGTCTCTTAACACTTAATTAAAATTAAAATAGTTTAAAAGACCAATTTGTTAATTGACAGGCGTTATTCTTGTCCACTTATTTCACTTGTCCTTCTTTTTTCTCTTTACTAGATTGAATGCATTTGCTTAATTGTTTATTTTTTTGTCTTTTTGTATTGTGTTTTCTTTGTTCCATTTATTAAAAAAGCCTGTTCAAATAGTGTTTAAACATTTTACATATTACACAACTGCAAAAAAACTAATTATGTTTTCCTCTATCTGTCTGTGTCCCCTGGCAGTTTGAACTTGGACAAGCAGACGGTGAAAGGCAGCACAGCGCTGCACTACTGCTGCCTGACGGACAACAGCGAGTGTCTGAAACTGCTGCTGAGAGGAAGAGCTTCAGTCTCCATCAGTAAGAACACAAACAGAAAGGAAACAGGAGGGAAATAAGAACACCTCACATCTTATATTAGCCCGTATAAATAGTTACAGGGTTGAACGAGGGCTGAAACTAGTGTCCGCTACTTTTCCCTAGATAGAAGATAAAGCTGTATAATAGTAAAGTTTAGTTTCCTGGTGTGATCGGAGCATTACAGCGTCTAATGATCGACAGCATGAACACAAACCGTCTCCTTTCTGAACGTCTCTTTTCACTGACTTTAATTTGTCTCACAGCAAACGAAGCCGGAGAGACGCCGCTGGACACCGCTAAACGTCTCCGACACACCGAGTGTGAAGAACTGGTGAGACTCAGAGAAATGTTATATTTGTTATATTTGTTATCATATCTTTGGTTTCTTTAATCTTTTATAATAATTAATAAGTTTATATGTGCAGTTAAATGCACCTGAACTGAGCTGAATTAACTTCTAACATACATTACACACTGCTAACATAAAGCTAAGCTAAATCAGTCTAAAATAAACCAGTTAAACTGAACTGGACCTGAATAAATGACACAACATTATAACTTTAATACAACAAAACAATAAAATGACATAAAACAAAAAATAGTTGAATTAAAGAAAGCTAAGCTATGATAAATAAAAGCTAAATTAGGCCAAACTAAAGCAGCTTTTTAATTAAAAACAAATAATATAATAATAATAAAAAATAATAATACATAAATAATGTAAACAAATACTAACTAACTTTAATGTTTTATTAACCGTCGTTATCGTCTGTTTCAGTTGACTCAGGCTCAGACGGGAAAGTTTAACGTCCACGTTCACGTTGAGTACGAGTGGCGTCTCCAGAACGAGGACCTGGACGAGAGCGAGGACGAGATGGAGGACAAGGTCAGCTGGTTTAATGTAAACATCGTAAACACACATAGTGGCTCAGAGGTTTAACGGCGTGTTTCCTGCAGCCAATCCCCAACCGGCGTGAGGAGCGTCCGGTCAGCTGCTTCGTGCCGGGCAGCGGCCCCAACCTCACGGCGCTGGCTCGGGACGCCGCCTTCCTGGCCCGGGACAAACAGCGGCCTCAGGTCCCGAGTATGATGCTCAGCAACGAGACCTACGGCACCATGATGGACCTCAACCTGCCGCCACCGGGACCGACGCCGCCGCTGCCGCCCAGAGTGCCCAACAGAGGTCAGTGAGTGTGTCTGTGTCCAACTCTTCCTCACAGGTTAGTTGGGCACTGTGGGGACGCTGTGGGGCTAACCACCTGAAACGTGCTCCTAAACACTTCTTGGGGTGTCAATTTTGGGAAAAACACTTACCCCAAACACAGTGGAGACATACAGTAGCACAACAAGAGACTGGGTTTACATGCTTTGCTGAAGCTTTATTAAATGGCAGAGAAAATAGCAGAAATCAGTCACAACTGAGCTCAATACTGAACATCAAGAAACCATACTGCATATGCAGCAAATTATCATATTAATGTCACAGATTAAAATGCTGGTGTTTTGCTGTGATCCCGTCTGTGTAATATTCAATTTGAAAAGATGTCATATGATTTTATGAAGCTTTATTTCGTTTACCAACTAACCCATATCTGAATTTGTCTTGATATGTTATCATTTGATAGGGATGGTGGTGTTAATGTTCCAGATTCCCAATTTGACAGCAGAGTGAACATAGGCAAGCAGCACAAGGATGTGTGAGTATACAGCGTCAGAGTTGTATGAAAGTGGAGTCCTACTTGATGGAATTTCTTCTGGCATCCTTTCGCTCCCCTGAATGAAAAGATGGATTACAGACATGTGTTAGAATGAACTGAGAAGAAGACTAAATGATGATAGGGATTGATATGAAGGAAGTGGGTTCTGGAAATGGTGGAAGGGTGGAAAATCCTCAAATAAATTATTGCTATGTAAAAAGTCACACAACTGTTTGGCGACTATTTTTTCTAGAATCTTAGAGAGGAAAGGGAGGTTAGAAATCGGTCTGCAACTCAGGTGCGGCCACCAGCGCAGTGTTTAATAGCTTACGGCTCGCTCCCGTGACTACATTCGTGTACGCGACCAGGTCGGGAACGCGGGAGTATACCAGCGCATGACTCGTGCAGTGCATGCTGTGGGGGGAGGGAGCGGACATAGCATGGCGGCGAAATAGCAGCGGGTACAACGGTTGCACAACAGAAATGGAAAAAATCGTCGCCCCCCCCGATTTGTTAGTTTGAGATCGTTGGCCCCAAATCGTAATCAGATCAATTTCGATTAATTGGAGAGCCTTAGCACGACATTTTAACTTAATTTTGTGTCGTTCAAGAGCAAAAGGCACTCTTTTAGGATGCCGCAAAGGACTTTAACCTAATCTGAGCTCTGGCCTTAGGTCAGGAGACTCCAGTTGCTGACCAATTTGGTCGTCCTTTTTTCTGGTCGACGCCAGTACTCGGGGCCTCTAGTATCGATGACTAGGGTAATGAATCT